GGTGCATTCCTAGAGATGTATCAACTACCAAAATTGAACCAGGAAGAAATAGAAAACCTGAACAGACCTATAACCACTAAGAAGATTGAAGCAGTCATCAAAAATCTCCCCACAAACAAAACCCCAGATGGCTTCCCAGGGGAATTCTACCAGACATTTCAAGAAGAATTAATACCTATTCTCCTGAAACTGTTCCAAAAAATAGAAATGGAAGGAAAACTTCCAAACTCATTTTATGAGGCCACCATTACCTTGATCCCCAAACCAGACAAAGACCCCATCAAAAAGGAGAATTACAGACCAATATCCTTGATGAACATGGGGGGGATGCAAAAATTCTCACCAAAATACTAGCCAATAGGATCCAACAGTACATTAAAAGGATTATTCACCACGACCAAGTGGGATTTATCCCTGGGCTGCAAGGCTGGTTCAACATCCGCAAATCAATCAACGTGATACAATACATTAACAAAAGTAAGAACAAGAATCATATGATCCTCTCCATAGATGCAGAAAAAACATTTGACAAAGTACAACATCCTTTCTTGATCAAAACTCTTCAGAGTATAGGGATAGAGGGTACATACCTCAATATCATAAAAGCCATCTATGAAAAACCTACAGCGAATATCATTCTCAATGGAGAAAAGCTGAGAGCTTTTCCCCTAAGGTCAGGAACGCGGCAGGGATGTTCACTCTCACCACTGCTATTCAACATAGTATTAGAAGTCCTAGCCACAGCAATCAGACAACAACAAGAAATCAAAGGCATCCAAATCGGCAAAGAGGAAGTCAAACTCTCACTCTTTGCAGATGATATGATACTGTATGTGGAAAACCCAAAAGACTCCACCCCAAAACTGCTAGAACTCATACAGGAATTCAGTCAAGTAGCAGGATATAAAATCAGTGCACAGAAATCAGTGGCATTCCTATACACCAACAACAAGACAGAAGAGAGACAAATCAAGGAGTTGATCCCATTTACAATTGCATCCAAAACCATAAGATACCTAGGAATAAATTTAACCAAAGAGGCAAAGGATCTGTACTCAGAAAACTATACAATACTCAGGAAAGAAATTGAAGAAGACACAAAGAAATGGAAAAACGTTCCATGCTCATGGATTGGGAGAACCAACATTGTGAAGATGTCAATGCTACCTAGAGCAATCTACACATTCAATGCAATCCCCATCAAAATACCATCCACTTTTTTCAAAGAAATGGAACAAATAATCCTAAAATTTGTATGGAACCAGAAGAGACCCTGAATACCCAGAGGAATATTGAAAAAGTAAAGCAAAGCTGGCAGCATCACAATTCCGGACTTCCAGCTCTATTACAAAGCTGTCATCATCAAGACAGTATGGTACTGGCACAAAAACAGACACATAGATCAATGGAACAGAATCGAGAGCCCAGACATGGACCCTCAACTCTATGGTCAACTTATCTTTGACAAAGCAGGAAAGAATGTCCAATGGAAAAAGACAGTCTCTTCAACTAATGGTGTTGGGAAAATTGGACAGCCACATGCAGAAGAATGAAACTGGACCATTTCCTTACACCACACACAAAAATAGACTCCAAATGGTTGAAAGACCTAAACGTGAGACAGGAGTCCATCCAAATCCTAAAGGAGAACACAGGCAGCAACCTCTTCGACCTCAGCCGCAGCAACTTCTTCCTAGAAACATCGCCAAAGGCAAGGGAAGCCAGGGCAAAAATGAACTATTGGGATTTCATCAAGATAAAAAGCTTTTGCACAGCAAAAGAAACAGTCCACAAAACCAAAAGACAACCGACAGAATGGGATAAAATACTTGCAAATGACCTATCAGATAAAGGGCTAGTATCCAAAATCTATAAAGAACTTATCAAACTCAACACCCAAAGAACAAATAATCCAATCAAGAAATGGGCAGAAGACATGAACAGACATTTTTCCAAAGAAGACATCCAAATGGCCAACAGACACATGAAAAAGTGCTCAACGTTGCTTGGCTCAGGGAAATCCAAATCAAAACCTAAATGAGATACCCCCTCACACCCGTCAGAATGGCTAAAATTAACAAGTCAGGGAACGACAGATGTTGGCGGGGATGTGGAGAAAGGGGAACCCTCCTACACTGTTGGTGGGAATGCAAGCTGGTGCAACCCCTCTGGAAAACAGTATGGAGGTTCCTCAAACAGTTGAAATTAGAGCTACCGTTCGATCCAGCAATTGCACTACTGGGTATTTACCACATAGATACAAATGTAGGGATCCGAAGGGGTACCTGCACCCCAATGTTTATAGCAGCAATGTCCACAACAGGCAAACTGTGGAGAGAGCCAAGATGTCCATTGACAGATGAATGGATAAAGAAGCAGTGGTATATATACACAATGGAATATTATGCAGCCATCAAAAGGAATGAGATCTTGCCATTTGCAACGATGTGGATGGAACTGGAGGGTGTTATGCTGAGTGAAGTAAGTCAATCAGAGAAAATCATGTATCATATGACCTCACTTATATGAGGAATTCTTAATCTCAGGAAACAAGCTGAGGGTTGCTGGAGTGGTGGGGGGTGGGGGGGGGGGGTTGGCTGGGTGATAGACATTGGGGAGGGTATGTGCTATGGTGAGCACTGTGAATTGTGCAAGACTGTTGAATCACAGATCTGTACTTCTGAAACAAATAATGCAATATATGTTAAGAAAAAAGAAAAAGAAGATAGCAGGAGGGGAAGAATGAAGGGGAGTAAGTCGGAGGGGGAGACGAACCATGAGAGATGATGGACTCTGAAAAACAAACTGAGGGTTCTAGAGGGGAGGGGGGTGGGAGGATGGGTTAGCCTGGTGATGGGTATTAAAGAGGGCACGTTCTGCGTGGAGCAGTGGGTGTTATGCACAAACAATGAATCATGGAACACTACGTCAAGAACTAATAATGTAATGTATGGTGATTAACATAACAATAAAAAAATTTAAAAAAAGGAGAAGAGAGACTAATCTCCTATGCAAAGAATTCCAAATACTAGGTGTAGCAGCTTGTCCTCAAGGAGGAGCATACTGCCCCCGCCTTCAGTATGGACTGCACAGTCACTTCTTTCCAAAGAGATGATATGAAACAGGGGTAAATACAGTAAATGTACAGCTGAGAACCCTGGCAAACACTTTCTCAGGTGATCACGATCAACACCAAGTCCTAAATCATGTTCACAGTATGTACCCTTGATGCCATGCCATCAACAGGGCAACCTACCGCAGTAGTCTTCCTCCCAATAAGCTGAAGTCTGCTCTTAGGAAAAAGACATCAAATTCCAGCAGAGGGGCCCCCCACAATACACTCGACCAGCATTCCTCAAAACTGTCAGGAGCACCCCAAACAAGTCTGAGCGGCCACAGCCAAGAGGAGCCTCACGAGATATGCCGACCAAATGGAGCCTGGTAACCTGGACGGGATCACCACACAGAACAGGTTCTTAGGTGAAAACTCAGTCAACAGGAGTAAGGACGGACTTGGGCCAATAATAACACATCAATATCGGTTCATTAATTGTAACAAATGCACCATAGGAACGTAAGATGTTAATAAAGGGGCAAAAGGTTTGGGAGACGTGGAACTCTACTATCTTTGCAATTTCTCTATAAACCTAAAGTTGTTCTAAAACAAATCTATTCAGAAAAAAAAAATTGCAATCTGGGGAAGAAAACCTATAAAGCCTATTTTTTAAAAGACCTGCTTCTAAACTTGGGGGCGGCTCGGGCAGGGTCCCCGCACTATCTGTGGCATGCATGACCGGATGTCATTCCCCCATCCTCATGGTGGGGTCAGGATCCGGAGTGCAGCGGGAATCCGGTCCTTTCTCGAAGGCCAAGTGGGGGCAGATAATCAGGGAGAGCGCTCCCGGGCTGGCGGAGGGAGTTAGTGCACGGCTCCGAGGACAGGTGGCCGACCTGCTTTACTGCACAGCCCCCTGCAGCTCCCCTCGCGGCCCCGGGCACCTGCTGGCGCTCCGGGCGGGAGGCCGGCCGGGGCCCAGCGCGCGCGCCGCGGCGAGTCGCCCCTTGCCCTCCGCCTCACCCCTCCCGCGTCCGACGCCCTCGACTCACCGCGCTGCCGAGCTCCGGGCCGCGAGCGCCGGACGGGGGACCCTCTCTCCCGCAGCGGCCGGTTCCGGGTCGCGTCCCCGCCCCGCGGCCTCCCGGCTCAGCCAAGCGCGGCTCCGAGATTTCTCCCCGGATCAGCGCCCAGATTGGCCCCTGCCAATCGCCGCCTCCCAATGGGAGCGCGAGCCTCCCCGACGTCACCGATCACTGGGCAAATCCGTGGGCCTCTGCAGGGGGCGGGGCGACCAGGGCCAGAGCGCACGGACCTGAGACCGGGCGGAGCCAGGGTGCGCGGGAGCTGCAGCCCGGGTGGGGCGGGCATGGCGCGCTCCCGGGGAGGTGGAGGGGAGCGCAGTCCGAGGCCTAGCTGGGCCTCTTCGCGGGACTCGGAGGCCAGGACCCCCTGCCGACCCCCTGCCCTCCCCCTGCGCTGGATCCGTGTCGGAGGGCGGCTCTGCGGCGGATTGGGGCTCGCCAGATGCTCAGCATTAAATAGGACTCCCTGCCCCCAACCTGGCCTAATTTTGCTTCCTGAACCCGGAAGGCCTTTAGCAAGCACGTACTTCAAGGCGGTTATTTACAAAAATTAAGTACCCTTTTCGAAGCGTCTGCGATGAGAGCGGAGCTTTACCTAAAATACCCTTAAACAGGGCAGCATAATTGTCCCCATTCCACAGAAGGGAAAAGCGAGGTTCCAGGAGCGTGGGGGCCCAGGCCCCGCTCCGTGCAGCTGTCTCCCTCCTGCCGGCTGGATGTGGGGCACTCGGGTCCCTGAGCCCTCGCTGGGGAGGTCTCCTGGGGCTCCGGCGCATCCCAGCCGCCACCCCCAGTCACGGCTCCCCAGGCTGCGCGGGGTCCGGGAGGGGCGGGAAAGGGCCTCCGCGCCAGCCACCTACCTGCTCCTGCCCGGAAGGGTGGTCGGGAGGTCCCGGAGTGGGCGCGGGTCGGCCGCCTCGGCGGGGTAAGAGGGTGGGTTTCGGGGTCCTGAACCCTAGAACCTGGCCGGCCTCCGCCCCTCTCGCGGGGTGGGGCAGGAATTTGAAGTGAAAGCGCTGGGTTTAAAGTGTGGCGGTGTCGAGGGTGGGGAGTTAGACCTACACGCCCTCATTCGTACACCTCAGTCTCCACCCCCACCCCCCCCACGCAGGGCCGTCTTCTCCCGGTTTCGGTCTCCTCTGGGGCGAGGGGGAGGGGGTGTGGACCTCACCTATTGGACAGGACTCGGGCAGGCCTGGGCTCTGGGTGTGGTCTCAGCACCTGCTCTTCTAGATGGTGTTGTGGAAGAAAGCGTGTGGTTTCGGGCCACGGATCTCTTCTCTCGCGTGCCTGGGACGTACTAGCCCCACTCAGAGGCCATTCTGTGCATCGTCCAGCCGGAGAGGTCCCTTGCCCCGGCTCCAAACAGTCTGCTACCGTCCCAGCGCAGTTAGACACAGGAAGGCCCTGCTCATCTCTCTGTCCCAGCTCCTTGCACGGCTGCCCCCTTCTTGTCAGTCGGTTCTACTACCATCTCCGACGGCCTTCCTCCACCATCTAGATCAGTTCCCCATCAGGCAGCATTCTGTTTCACTTTCTGCATGCATGTGTCATCAGTTTTTAAAAATTTTTATTTTATTTTATTTAAATTCGATTAATTAACATATAGTGTATTATTCGTTTCAGAGGTAGAATTCAGTGATTCATCAGTCTTATATAACACTCAGTGCTCATTACATCACGTGCCCTCCTCAATGTCCATCACCCAGTTACCCCATCCCCCACACCCTCCCCTCCAGCGACCCTCATTTTGTTTCCTATGATTGAGAGTCTCTTATGGTTTGTCTCCCTCTCTGGTTTCTCTTATTTTCCCCTCTCTTCCCCTATGATCCTCTGCCTTGTTTCTTAAATTCCACATATCAGTGAGCTCATATGATAAATGTCTTTCTCTGATTGACATTTCACTTAGCATAATACCCTCTAGTTCCATCCATGTTGATATAAATGGTAGGTATTCATCCTTTCTGATGGCTGAGTAATATTCCATTATATATATACACTACATCTTCTTTATCCATTCGTCTGTTGATGGACATCTGGGCTCTTTCCACAGTTTGGCTATTGTAGACATTGCTGCTATAAACATTGGGGTGCAGGTGCCCCTTCAGATCACAAACACAAAATGGTGAGCCAGAGTCTCATTGGCACCTTCATTTTGTGCAAAACCTCAACTGCTCATCCTGGAACTTCTGATGGGGATGTCACTCTGCGTTGTCTGCATGAACCACCAGCTTCCATCTTTCCTCACAGTGTCAAGGTGTCTTTATGTTTTCCTTTTATATCAGCAAAGTCCTTTATTTCATGTATAATCTTTATCTATTAGGTGTTTAATGTGTCTTTTCCAAACTATGCTGGTATTTTTACTGCAGTTGTTACCATTGTGTTGGTATTATGATCACAGAGATGTGTAGATTTTGAGTTGGCTGCCAAAACACTATTTCCCCTATAAGCCCTATTATTTTTGTGGACATTTTGCAGTTTGTGAATTTTTTTTTCAGGAATGCACACATAATGTTAGGGCAGAAATATCTGTAAAACATCTCACTGTTTGATTGTAGAATCATGTGAATGCCTTGCTATTAAAAATTTTTTAAACAGAGAAAATTAGCAAAGCATATGGAGATTAAAGGGGGAAATCAGAGGGGGAGACGAACCATGAGAGACTATGGACTCTGAAAAACAAACAGGGTTCTAGAGGGGAGGGGGGATTGGCTAGCCCGGTGATGGGTATTAAGGAGGGCACCTTCTGCATGGACCACTGGGTGTTATATGCAAACAATGAATCATGGATCACTACATCAAAAACTAATGACGTAGGGGCACCTGGGTGGCTCAGTCGTTATGCATCTGCCTTTGGCTCAGGTCATGATCCTGGGGTCCTGGGATCAAGCCCCGCATCGGGCTCCCTGCTCCGCGGGAAGCCTGCTTCTCCCTCTCCCGCTCCCCCTGCTTGTGTTCCCTCTCTCACTGTGTCTCTCTCTGTCAAATAAATAAAATCTTAAAACAACAACAACAACAACAACAAAACTAATGATGTAACGAATGTTGAGTAACATAACATAATAAAAAAAAGAAAAAAAGAAAATAGAAAAGTTACCTATAGGGACGTCTGGGTGGCTCAGTCAGTTAGGCGTCTGCCTTTGGCTCAGGTCGCGATCCCAGGGTGCTGGGATCGAGTCCTGCATCGGGCTCCTTGCTTGGCGGGGAGCCTGCGTCTCCCTCTGCCTGCCACTCCCTGTGCTTGGGCTCTCTCTCTGTCAAACAAATAAATAAAATCTTAAAAAAAAAAAAAGAAAAGAAAAGTTACCTATACTTGCCCCACAACAGAACCCAGGGCAGATGAGGATGCCTGGTTGGAGACTGGTCGTCTTCCCACTGGCAAGATGACCCTCTGGCTCAGGACCCACTGGCAGAGGCTGTACTTGTCTGTAGGGAGGCCGACTTGGGCTCACAAGACCGGGGCTGGCGGAGGCTGGCAGAATCTCCTCGCCAGAGACCGCAGTGAGAGTGATCACAGCTCTAGTGCTGAAGGAGGCAGCCACCCAGCGGCACGGCTCGTGTTACCGCTGCTTAGGTGCCTTCCAAGCTTCTTGTTACCAGGGTCCTGTTCAAACTTCATTGCTTGTCTGGGAATCTGGTACAAAGTCATGGGATGTCTTAGCTCCAGTACCCAAAGAGGTTAATCAGGTACTGGCAGGAGGGTGGCGGCACTTTTTCTTTGTAATTGGAGGATATAAGATTACCTGTCCATCCATTCTAGCTTGTGCAACATCTAGTCCTTCCTGAGAAAGACATAGGGCTCTGGATTTTATCTTCCCTCAAGGACCACACAGCCTTAAACAGGGATGCGACATGATCTAAGCAGTTTCTGCACTGGGGGCTACTATCAGTGCCCTACCAGGAACTTACACTGTGCTGAAGTTTATTTAATCCATGCTCGGCATGTTACAGATTGCTTTGAAACCTCTGTGGAAGTATAGCAAGAGTACTTTGCATGACTGGTAACTAAAGAAGCATTAACCCTGTTTGGTAGTCTGTAGAAAAGCAGGTGTTAGCAATGTCCCAGGCTGCATCCCAAGTGCCAGTAAGGCAGTAGGTTTTCTACACACAGCAATGATAGTATGATCTGCAGGAATAACGTTGTCCTCAGCTTGTGTGAGCTCCACAGGCGAGGGCTGGGTTTTGAGGTATCTCTTTGATTCTAATAGAGTGGAAAGGATAATTCCCTTTTCACCTTCAGGTTTGCCAATTGGTTTCTTCGTTTCAAGTTTTTATTTAAGTTCTAGTTAGTTAACATATAGTGTAATATTGGTTTCAGGAGTAGAATTTAGTGCATATAACACCCAGTGCTCATCACATCACCTGCCCTCCTTAATGCTCGTCACCCTGTTACCCCATCCCCCCACCCATCTCCCCTCCAGCAACCCTCAGTTTGTTCTCCATTGTTAAGAGTCACTTATGGCTTGCTTCCCTCTTTCCATTTTTCTTTCCCCCCCCTCCATATGTTCATCTGTTTTTTTAAGTTCCACATATTAGTGAAACCATATGATAATTGTCTTTCTCTGACTGACTTATTTAACTCAGCATAATACCCTCTAGCTCCATCCATGTTGATGCAAATGGCAAGATTTCATTCCTTTTTATGGTTGAGTAATTCCATTTTATATATTTAAAAAAATTTGCCCAGAGTCCTGTACCAAGGCTGTATGTGCAAGGCTCTGGGCAAATTTTCTTTAACTTCTTTATCCATTCATCTGTTGAAGGGCATCTCGGCTCCTTCCACGGTTTGGCTATTGTGGACATTGCTGCTATGAACATTGGGGTGCAGGTGCAATTGCTGGGTCATAAGGTAGCTCTATTTTTAACATCTTGAGGAACCTCCATACTGTTTTCTGGAGTGGCTGCACCAGCTTGCATTCCCATCAACAATGTAGGAGGGTTCCCCTTTCTCCACATCCTCGCCAACACCTGACGTTTCCTGACCTATTAATTTTAGCCATTCTGACTGGTGTGAGGTGGTATCTCATTGTGGTTTTGATTTGTATTTCCCTGATGCCGAGCGATGTGGAGCATTTTTTCATGTGTCTGTTGACCATTTGTATGTCTTCTTCGGAGGAATGTCTGTTCATGTCTTTGCCCATTTCTTGATTGGGTTCTTTGTATTTTTGAGGTGTTGAGTTTGATGAGTTCTTATAGATTTTGGATACTAGCCCTTTACCTGATATGTCATTTGTGAATAGCTTCTCCCATTCTGTTGGTTGTCTTTTGGTTTTGTTGACTGTTTCCTTTGCTGTGCAGAAGCTTTTTATCTTGATGAAGTCCCAGTAGTTCATTTTTGCTTTTGTTTCCCTTTCCTTTGGAGATGTGTCTTGAAAGAAGTTGCTAAGGTCAAGGTCAGAGAGGTTGCTGCCTGTGTTCTCCTCAAGGATTTTGATGGATTCCTGTATCACATTGAGGTCTTTCATCCATTTTAAAGCTTATTTTTGTGTGTGGTGTAAAAAAGTGGTCCAGTTTCATTCTTCTGCATGTGGCTGCCCAATTTTCCCAGCACCGTTTATTGAAGAGACTGTCCTTTTTCCAGTGGATATTCTTTCCTGCTTTGTCAAAGATTAGTTGACCATAGAGTTGAGGGTCCATTTCTGCACTCTCTATGTGTCTGTTTTTGTGCCAGTACCATGCTGTCTTGGTGATCACAGCTTTGTAATAGAGCTTGATGTCTGGAATTATGATGTCTCCTGCTTTGCTCTCTTTTTCAGGATTGCTTTGGCAATTTGGGGTCTTCTGTGGTTCCATACAAATTTTAGGATTGTTCTAACTCAGTGAAAAATGTTAATGGTATTTTGATTGCATTGAATGTGTAGATTGCGTTGGGTGGTATAGACATTTTAACAATGTTTGTTCTTCCAATCCATGAGCATGGAATGTTTTTCCATTTCTTTTTGTCATCTTCAATTTTTTTCAGAAGAGTTCTGTAGTTTTCAGAGTACAGACTCTTTACCTCTTTGGTGAGGTTTATTCCTAGGTATCTTATGGTTTTCAGTGCAATTGTAAATGGGATCAATTCCTTGATTTCTCTTTC